TATGAAATTTTTTGATTATAAAAATGAACGATTGAACTTACTTTGCCCTTCATGTCTAAGATATAAATAGCCGATGCAGACATAGCTTATAAGTTGTATAGTACTTTGAAAATAAGGACTAATAAGTATCGAAAGAAAAGTAAGAGATAAGAATAGATTAGAATTTGTTTTTCACTTTTTTTTTTCTATTATATTATCACCTTGATTTGTTGATTGATTAAAGGGTATGCAGCCAGTCTTAGCCATTGATAGCTGACATCATCCAGTTATAACACTCTGATCGATAGATGACAGGCAGAGTCGTATGTTATTACAGAAAAGAAACTACCTAGTTCGTCTTTTCATAACATAAAATATTGAGAGAAAGATATTGTGGAGTGGATTTATTTCCTTTTTGAAATATTTGTTAAGAGTATTATTAATCTGTGGGATTTATCGACGTCTGATTTAGAAGCCATATAAACAGGTGAATATTCAAAGTCAAATGGTAGTATGAAGTGAATCTCAATCGGCATTAGTGGCGGAGCCATGGATGAGCCAGGATGTGCTCAGTCCACTCAAAGTGTTTCGTAGAGCTAACCTTGAGTAATTTTCAAATATATATTAAAGTAACCCTTTGTGTGAGTTACGGTAGACTCAATTTACCATAAGTCTACTCTTAATTGAATTAGTAGTTCCATCACTAGTTGACATCAGCTAAATTCGAGTATATTAGGGCCTACTATACTTTTTTTTTATGAGTACAGCATGCAGAGTTACCAGTAGGTGTCGCTAACTGTTGAAAAAGTATTTTGAAGAAACATTGAATAGTCATCATTTCTGCTGAGAAAAAATACAGCATTTCTCTATCAAGCAACCTCTTCTGGAGCATTCTACTATAAGGAGAAGGAGTATTTCATTAAGATATTGAACATAGAATTTCCTGCATTTTTCTGGATTAGAAGAAAAAAAGAAAAGTGCTTTTTGTTGATTAAGAAATGATCACTGTATACATAGCAGATCATAATACTAACAACAAACGTTTAATTCATCAAATATTAAGCAAAAAAAAAACAAAATTTTATGTTTGACAAATATTCTTCATATTTAGTGCAAAAAGAAATATCTGATTTTTAGTCGTACATAGTCGAGTACTTGTTTGCTTTCATCAATTGATAAAATCAAAGAAAAATTTAAAAGACATAATCGGAAAAATAAACATTTAAATCAAACAAATGGTCAAGCAACAATATTACGACAATAAGTGTCATTGTTACAAAGAGAATTCCAATAAATATGGCGGATTCAAATGTTTGAGTAGTATTATTAAAATTCATATTTAACACCATAATGGTTAAGATAACACAATCAGCTAAAATAGATACTGCTGTAAATAGAATCACTCTCACTAATACAAATTAACATTCAAAAATAAAGAATAAAATGCAATAAGTAATCCAACACAACGCTGATTATATGTCACTAAAAGACCAAATGCATAAAAGATAGTTAAAGCAATAATAGATATCAACGATTGAATTCCATTGGGAATATTCACTGTATCTACACTTAATACCGTATAATATCTAACATCAAGAAGAATGACACATATAAACTACATCAATATGAATTTTAACGGCATATATCTGTTGAAGATTTTCTGAAATTTACTCATTGCATGAAAAGAAAAAATTTCTGAATGCTTGATACATTCTAATTATGATCAGCTAATGATCATTTGATATTATCATTTTGATTTCATGTCATTGTCTTATCTATTTGAGACAGTATATTGAAATGAATCTTTTTATAACATGCAATAGATAATATGTTCAAAAACATACCATTAAATGCAGAATTGGAAGGGCTATATTTTAGTATAAAAAAGTTTTGAAAAACTATCAACTATAATAATTTAATATTATTAATTAATAATTTTTATTGATTACTAACTAGAAAAATGTTTTGTTATAAATTTTGATCTTCAAGTATTCTGTTAGGAAAAACATTGAAAACTGAATAATATTGTATTTTTGTTTATAACAATTTATAACAGGTTTTCTTTAAACGCTAATTAAAATTTAATTAACACTTTATTAATAATTAAGAAAAGTGAGCTCTAAGTATAGACATCAGAACTTCAAAAAATATTACATTTTATAGAACAGACTTTGTTTTAACAAATGAGATCTTGTATTATTCTGTGCCATGTATTCCTCATCAGATATAACACTCTGAAAATATTAAAGTATGAAGCCACTGCAAAATAGCTGAAACTACAGGATACACATCGCCTTTTCTCGGAATTTTCGAAACCACATTAGGAGTTCATGTAGTATCCTGGCAAGAAAGCGCTTCATGATCATTCGAAGAGCTTAAGATTTGCTGTAAAGTATCTGGATTGACTATTGTCTCAAGGCTGAGCATTTCACAAAACTATTCCTTCCATCGATTTTATTGTACTTTACTATTGGTTAAAGTTACGGTGTTCTTATCCTGAATCGATGCATGGTTTATACCCACGTCACTAACATGGAGACTACGAGATTACTTGAAAAGCAGTTACTAGATCGTGTACTTTAACTGCATTTTCTGTATCTATGCTTAACTCTTCCCAATATTCATGTTGTCTAGCATATACTTTGTTCTTTACTATTTTGACCGAAACTTGACATCTATTTCGATATTTGTTCTCTTTGACCGTACTATGATGAAGTCACTACTGGCATAAATACTTCAGCTTTGCTTTTTTTTAGCAATATCCTTTAGTTCTAGTGTGAGCCATTCTTTATCATCATTTTGAAAGTTTTTGTTCTTTTTAACATATTTTTTTCCATATTCAAGCACACAATTAGCAAATATCGTTAATTTTTCGTTCACCAATGAGCGTTCATCTTTTCGCCGTGTGGCTAGGTAATTTTTTGTTAAATCAGTTTGGAAAGCAAAACATTAATTAATATTGGTCGATTTTTAAATGATCTAATCTTAACCGAACTTCTCTCACTGTTTGATGACAACATTTTAAGAGTGTAGATAGCTCGTAATAAATAATGATGATCTGTTCCAATTCCAACAATACCACCTCTATAAGCGTGTAGATCTCAGTCACTAGCCTTGAACTTAAGATTAACTAGGACATAATCTAGCGTGCGTCATTGTTTAATTTTGAATGTATTCATGTTGCCAGATGGACTGATTTATGCAACAAGAACGTATCATATAGTAAATAGAGAATTATTGAGTAGGAAGAAATCGATCAAACGACGACCGCTTTGATTCCGTTGGTCAATAGCATGTTGACCAACAGTTCCGCCATCTGTATTGGTTTGTTCTTCTTCTACTCGAGTATTAAAATCTTCCTTTATCAGGATGATATCACTATTATAAGTTTTGTCAATTGTTGATTGAAGAGCATTATAGAACTCACCATAGGTCTTAATATCATCTTCTAATCCATTCAAAAGATTTACAGAGTGCATAAACGGCTATACTGGTAATTGGTAAATGTCGAAATTCATTAAGAACCCTGCCAATTCTTGAATTAACTGCTTTCTAATAAAAACCAGTGTTATTTCAAGCTCGAGCTGCTTCAAGATTCAGACATACAGATGTCTCGTCTGTAGATATTGATGGCTACTGAGAATATATTCCAGAATGAATGAACATATATTTATTCCTCGCACAAACACTCGAATCATGTATTTTAATTTCAGTTAGTACTGCCATCTCGATTCAATTAGTTCATGTTTAATGGAACGATCACACGATCCGACATTCCATGATCCAATCACACCCACACCCACACCCAACACTCACATCCCACACCCCACATCCACACTCCCTCCACACTCTACACCCACATCCACACTCCCTCCACACTCTATACCCACATCCACACCCCGCACGCATACTCCACACTCACATTCTCAAGTGTTAGGAGTGCAACTGTCGTGGAAGTATCTGTCAGGGGAGTGACATATATGTTACTGTATGAGATATTTAGAAGCTACTGAGAATGCTGTTCTTTAAGCACCACCCGTTAAAATGTCAAGTTTTGTACGCATATTTTTAAAACCTCCATAGGCACAAGAAATGTCAGTTTAATATGAAATGCAAAACTCTAACATGATGGTCGAGTCTTATTTCTGTATTGTATGTTTGAGAAACTCTAGCAGAATAAGAATGAAACTACAATATAACTATTATCAATTAGCAAACTACGACAATGACATTATCATGACAAAACAGAATTGAAAGATAAGCACATTCTTACTGAAGTGGATTCAATGACAGAACCCCTTAGATAGACCTTACCTGTAAAAAGAAAACGAACATCATCTTGATAAGAATCGAAGAAGCCCTTTAAAAAACAAAGCATCTTCTCGACTATTCACATTTTCGAGCTTTGCTTTCACAAGATATATTGTTTTAGTGTCGAGGAAAAAAATCACGTTTCACAATGCGAGATAACTTCTTGGAACAAACGAGCTTGCCATCGATGTTCCAGAAATATTCAGCCTAGTTTCTAGTTCCATCCATCTGAACATAGATGTTTCTACTACTCGCGACGCATAGAAATGGTGACTGTCACGAAAATGATGTGTTACTTTATTTCGAATTGAATCTGAATAGTCATGTTCTGAAATTTGTGTTTGTATTTGTAGAAATTTGCGATGACGAATGACAATGAACTATATCCGCCGAAAATTTTCGATCTGAATAACACAATACCCGATGATGAAGAGAAAGTGATCCCAGAATTCGACTCGGATATACACAATAATCCGGCACTTATGCTAAAAATGAAATGTGTGAACAGTGCTATCGATGAAATTGGTTTCACTAGATATCATCTGAAACTTTTCTTTCTCAACGGTTTTGGATATGCAGTGGACTCTTTACTGATTCTTCTCAATTCTCTAACACAACCCCAAATTGCTCTACAGTTTCAGCCAGTTATTACTACTGCACAAACAATTTCCGTTGGCATTGGATTACTTGTCGGGGCTCTCTTCTGGGGTATGGGAGCCGATGTAAGCCATAATAATATACTTTTTCACTGTTATGCTTTTCATTTTTCCACTTGAAATATAACTGTGATATTTTAGATTATCGGTCGTCGGTATGCATTCAATATTACCTTACTTTTGTGTGCGATTTTTGCCATTGCTACTGGAGCTGCTCCGAACTTCGCCTCTGTGTGTGTTCTGATCGCATTAATGGCATTCGGAGGAGGTGGTAATTTGATTTTAGATACGGCAGTCTACTTAGAGTTTCTGCCTGGTAAGTATCAATGGTCGTTGACATTCATGGCTGCTTGGTGGGGCATTGGTCAAATGGTGGCAAGTCTAGTAGCATGGCCTTTCATGGCTATGTATTCGTGTCAAAACAAACTTGACTGTACGAATGCTAATAATTCTGGATGGCGCTATACGTTCTATACTTTGGGAGGGCTCGTGGTCATTTTATCTATTCTTCGCATCGTTGTTATACGTCTGAAGGAATCTCCTAAATGGTTACTTTCTCAAAACAAGGATGCTGAGGTAGTGAAAGTTATTCATGAAATAGCTCAAGGAGCAGGAAAACAGAGTTCATTGACTTTGCAACAACTCGAATCATTTGGACCAGTACGCCAAGTTAGTGACACCAAACAATATCATCCGATGGTAGTCATCAATCATATTCGAGGTAAATACCATCACGGATTGAAACACTTTTCTATTGAATTTTTCCATGACAGGTCTTTTTCCAAATCGACGAATGGGCTTCTCAACGTTTCTTAATATTGCTTCATGGGCTTTGATCGGTCTGGCTTATCCTCTCTACAATGTCTTTTTGCCCTACTATCTGCGTTCGCGAGGAGCCATCGTAGGTGACGATTCTACTTATACAACCTACCGCAATTATGCCATCACAAATGTGTGCACCATATTTGGCCCTGTGGTTGCAGGAGGTCTAGTAGAAATTCGCTATCTTGGTCGACGGTACACTATGGTTATCGGTGCTCTACTCACCATGATCTTTCTTTTCGCATACACGACAGTTCGGACTGCTGCTCAGAATTTGGCTTTCGCCTGTATGATCAGTTTCTCTTTGAACATCTACTATGGGACCCTATATGCCTATACACCAGAAGTACTCCCATCAGAACATCGAGGCACGGGTAATGCCATCACTGTGGCATGCAATCGAATCATGGGCATTGTCGCTGCGGTTGTGGGCATGTATGCAAATCTGAATTCGAATGTACCCATTTATGTATGTGCAGCCGCCTTCGGTGGCTTGGCATTTATAAGTTTCTTATTTCCATTCGAATCACGTGGAAAAACGAGTGGTTAAGTACTGCTAATAACAATAATGCTATTAATATGTTGAGTGTGAATGCAGATGGCGAAATGAGTTGATGTGAATCGCCATCCATACTTCACGCCCTCAATTCTAAAAAAAAAATAAACGTGTAGGCTGACTACATATTAATAATTCATAAAATAAATATCGATAAAAAAAATAATGTCAATCGATCAATAACTTCGATGCGATATCACTACAATAAATGATCTTTTTTATTTTTAATCAGTAGAACATGATATGCAATGAAAACAATCAGATGATACTTAATGATAAAATTCTTGATCATTTCTATCATGAAGAAAGAAAACCAATGTTTGTGCAATTATTAAAAATATATTGAGCGACAAATAAAAGTAGAATAAAATGGATCAGAAAGTATTACATGTCAGTGGGCTTTTTTGACTTGAAACATCGTAAATAGGTTTGTAAAAATTCTTGTAACATACTAATTTACAAAATGCAAATGAAGAAATTTCTATATGTCAGATTGATAAAGTGAATAAACATGCGCATTTAGTAGATTTACAGTAGTTGACAAAAGTACTGCTACCATATAAAAACGATTTAAATCTCAATCATTCGGGCGCATATTTTTATCACATATAGAACTCAATCGTAAGCATCAACCTGATCTCGATTGGCTGATATCTACTGGAGTTATAAGCTCAACAGTATCATCATCTTGTGAAGACCGTATCTCAACCATTTTTCAACGTTCACTTTCGTGTGATCCAACCCTAACCTCGGAGTAATCTGTGACAAAAACTTGGTAAAAAATTACTTTAAATTCATAGAGATAGAATCTTTGTAATGAAAATATCTGCTAATCGATTAGTCCTAATCTTCAGTTTGGTGGTAATAACTCCACTTAACCTTAACCGATTCATTTGAAAATTTCAATCATGAATTGCTCATAAGTCTAGCAGTTAGTGATAAAATCATAGCTCAAACAAGAGCTGAGATAGAGTCATCGAAAGAGCTCATTGTGGCACAGATTGCCAATCAATGAGATCTCGATATTATAGAATGGGCTTTCGATTCAGTAAATTAGACACAGGGAGTTGCATTGAGCACTAGAAAAAATTTAAATAAACTATAACACTGTAA